GCCGATGATTATGATGATTATGCTGGCCGAACCGAGACCGAGAGATCAGCTGCATGGACAAAGAGTGAGCGTAAGAGCCAACTCAGAGGCCCGGCCAAAAGCCGGGCCATAAATCCACCTCGAACACCACCGCACAGGTGGTCAACTTGGGCGGCTCGCCCTGCTGATATTTAAAACAAACTGTTGTGCTTTTCAATTACTTTATAGTACGTACACGACATACGAACGATCGGCTGGCTGGCTGGCTGGCTGGCTGGCTAGCTGGCCAGGCTTTGGCTTTTGGCCGGGTCTGCGCCTTTTGGCCGACACACAGGCCAGTCATAAAAACTGTTTCAGGAGCGGAGCCAATCGGTCGAGGGACTTAAGCCCAAATCGTTCAATCAGCCAAGTGCGCTATCCGCAAACATATAAAGATCAGCTTCTTAGAAGGATAACGGATCAATCTAAAAGATGTAAATATTTACATTTTTACATTTATCTTAAATATTATTTGGCTAAACTGATTTCCCGACTGCGCTCCTGCTTCTGAGGCACTGTGCCCCTGCATTGGAACAAAAAAAAATATGAAAGGAAACAATCTTATGCGCTCAGCTGTGCTATTAATTGTTTTATTAAGACATTTCAAGATTTAACATGCCATACACCCTACCGCACAAAAGCCAGGCATAGCAGACTTGCCAAAGCTCATTAACAAATTTCGCTAGTAAAGTTTAAGTAATTCAGGTAAAAGTGAAGTGCGATATGTTATGAAAAGAAGCAATTTTGCAGTTAATTTAAGCCGCGAATGTTTGGCTGTGCAGGGCACTGAGCGAGTGGCGCAAACCTGGCCGAAAGGGGCTAAGCCCAGAGATCTGGACCTCCAGGCGGAGCCCTGCTGCATCTGGGATCTGGGATCTGGGATCGGGCATCGAGTGGGTATCCACTGCCCTTCCCCAAGAGCTGCCCATCATCAGCACGATCATCATCCCGATAGGGATCGTGATCATGGAGCCGAAGACGATCATCGCAGTTGCGAGGACCTTTGGTGTGGTCCAGTCTGCAGTGATCCCGGTGATCCGTGGAAGATTGATGTTAATGTCGGCATCGCCCTGGTGTGAACACACTTATTCGCATATTTGTTTGCGGCCCAGACAGTTGGCCATTTGGTCATTTGGTCATTTGGCCACACACGACGCTGATGGTCCATCGCCGCTAATAGAGCCATAAAGCGAACATTTATTGATCTACAAATTATTTGGGCGCTGCTGCTGCCGCTGGGCTCAGCTAAATTTTTTTATATTTTGTTTGTGGATGCTGCTTTCGTGGGCTATCTAAATATTCATTAGTGGCTGGGCGGCTTGATTGGTCGGCGATCGCCTCAGAGATCGCAGGGTTCTTCGATTTAATTTTATTTTTATAGACCCCAGCCCCCAAAAGAACTACCGCAACCGACAAAAGAGCACATAAACAAACACTCTTCCGATACTAAAGCGATACCTTTCGTTTCGGGTGGTCCCACGAGATCAGCGCCCCTGATGTGTTCATTAGGGTGAAAGTAACTCCCAGACTGGCAGACTGTCAGACTGACGGACTTTGACTGATCTAATTGGAGAAACTGGAGCTGGGTTGTGATCGAAATCGAGACTGAGGATTGCGTTAATTGAGAGGCCATAAAAGCGCACTAATTTAGTCGAAATATCCATAGAAGCGTAAAATGTTCACACCTCAATTGCACAAAGGCAAAGCAATGTGTCTATTAAGGCGCGCTGCCTACATGCACAGTTGCAGATACAGCTACAGCTACAGCTACAGATACAGATACTCTGGCCGCCCATATCGGTGTCGCCCGTACTGGAGGCCTCCGGCAATCGCAGTCACAGCTCCCAATCCCAGTTGCAGTTGCAGTTGCAGGCCACCTGATGCGCAGCACGGCCGGATGGATTACAGTTTCTTAATGAAATTGTTTGCTAATATCAGCGGAAAATGCGGTTTGCAATTTGTCAAACCAGTTGCGGCTGCCTCATGGACCCAATCAATGCTGTAGGTGTAACCGATACCTCGGCCAGGGTATTGAATCGCCAAAGGTGTGAGAGCGCGTAAAAGGTTGCCTCGGAATTCGCTGGGATCACGGAGGAGGAATGTCCTCCTTGCCGCCGTTTCCACTGCCACAATATCAACCGAGCGCTAATAGATAGTTCAGATTTTAAGCGTTTGTGTAGGCTGTTTTGGAAGCCCAATGACATTTGCCTTTGGTTTTACATTCATAAGCTTGACTGCTAACTCTCTGATGGTGTAATTATAGCTGCTGTTTTCCACTTTCATTTGCCGCCTTCAAATCGCCTGCGCAGCAACATGTTCTGACACCTCCAACTCGCCCATGGAGCATATGCAATGAAGCGCCCTGCGATGAAAGCGCCGCGAGGACAACTGGTGTGCCCCGCCAGCAATTTCATATGCAAAGCGGGCAAGGGCTATGCAAATTGGCCAGCGGCGAACAAATAGCTGCTGCTGATAGACTGATAGAGCAATTAAGAAATATGCCTAAACATATTTTCATGCAGGAGAGCAAGTTATGCGCTGGAATGCTGAATGTGGTCGCTAGCCTTTGGCGCTGCCAGCTAGTCAGGCTGGACGGGCTAAATGGTCGGATGGCTATTTTCGAGCACCGGTCGGTCCATGGATCGATGGATCGATGGATCGATTGAGCGATAGACAAAACGCTGACGAAGTTCCCCAGCTATAGACGATCCAGCGGATCGGCATCGTTTGTCATCCGGCGATTGCGATTGTGATGCGAGTGTCGCGCTGTCCGCGTCAATCACTTCAATTAAACGTGCAATCAAACCGATGATCGACGCGTCGTCATGTCAATATTGATCAGTGTCGCCAAACCGCAGCGTTAATTTGCCTGTCTGCCAGGTTGGTTGGTGGGTCTTGGGTTGGCTGCGTGGGTTCCGCTGAGCTGCGATCGGCAGTCAGAACTGCGGATGCCGAATAACCACCGATCAATCATCAACGAGCGCTTTCACTTTTCACATGTAAATTTTCCCCGGCTATGTGTTGTCTTTTATGGCTTATTAATGATCTGGGCTCGAATGTGCGATCATTAGATACAGATACGAGTTGCGATCGTCGCGGGACAGATCGCTTACATCGAAGCTCGGCGTTTGAGACTTATGTGACTGGTTCTCGATCGCCGCCAGACCGGCTCCGTCTGTATCTGTATCTGTATCTGTATCTGTATCTCAATCTGAATCCGAGTCGGTATCTGCATCTCCATATGTATCTGTATCTGTTTCGGTTGTGGCTCCCCTGTGACGCGATCGGCGTGGTCTGCGTGTGGCCCGTTAGCTTGAGATCTTTATAAGTCAATTTCGGTGCTTTTGGGGCGTGAGCTTCGAGTTTCGTACAGAGATGCTACACCTGATCCTGGATATGTGGCTCCTGCTGGAGTCTCCATTCCTTGGATTTAATTGCGCGCTCCGCGACAGGTTCATTCATTTTCCCGCCTAAAAGGTAACTAACCCGGTTGCTTGGATTCCTTTTGTGTGCTCGCAGTGCTGCTTTTGGCATTTGCAACTCATGTTAAGCATAAATAAAACAAATGCGTTTATTTTAAACATATGCCCCAGTGGCAGAAGAAGCCTGCTTTTTGTTGCCTCCACTCACTCGGTTGGCAGTTGGCTTCGCCAAGTTGGGTCATTGAGGCTGCTGATGAAGACATCTTCCCGTTTTTGTTTTCTTTGCCGTCTGTTCTGTTCTGGCTCGTTGCTGTTTTTTTTTTTTTTGATGAACAGGAATTTATGTGAATGTGCGTCTCTGGTTTTGTTTACTTCTTACGAGCTTAGTAGTGAGCAAGGCCACTGTTTCACTTTTCAGGGAATTCGATTTGCGGTCAAAGCTAAAACGTTTCGCAAGGGACTTAAATCTTGAGAAGCGCGGAGAAGGGCGCATAAAGTGTGACCAAAGCCAATAAAAAGGTTAGGCTTGAAACTTAGCCTTAAAGCTGACTTGTTATTACTCAGCAATAATGATCTGCAATTATTCACCCTCCACACTTACGTCTTAACTACTTTCTGCAATACTCGAGCAACTTTGATTGAGTTCATATAATTTGTATTAAAGCCAATTTGAAGTTACCCCCACGGAACAACAAACGGCAACTTCCCCGAAAAGCAACTTTGAAACTTTTATTGTGTCAAATTTGCGCAGCAGAGCAATGAAAAATTTAACACGCTATAAATCACAATTTCCACAAGAGGAGTGGAGAGCAGAGCCAAAGATTTCACGCTGGCAATTGTTGCATTGTGAAGCGATTTCTTTGGCGAAAAAGGAAACTGGCAACCCCTTAGCAATGTCCTTGCGACGCTGTGGCATGCAGCTCGAGTTTGCTTATCTCCGCTTGCCAACATGCCTCAAAAAAGGGGGAGTTTTTCCGGGCAAAGGCGGGGGGTGGCGGGTGAAGGGGCGGAGGTCATCGTGACTTGGATTTTCCTGTCGTCAACGTCTCCCGGCTGTCTGACAGGTTCAAGGTCTGCCTCCTGTGCTCCTGTTTGTTTTTATCGCCGGCTGCGTGAGAAATTTAAAACCGTGATAACACCTTACAACCGCCACGCCCACTTGTCAGACAGCCGCCCCTTTCCCCGCCCATCGGCGAATTTTGGTTTAATTTCGCGCCCGTCGGCAGCTTTGGCATTTTGTTGACAAAATTGATTTGTTCAATTTTTCCAACGATTTAACTTAGGGCATGACTTGGTTGCGTTGCCATTAGTGCCGCTACATTTGTTTTGAAGGTTGTTGTGGGGCGGCGGGCGCTTTGGGGGCGTGGCCGAGTGGGGTCGCCGGGAATTTTTGCACGTTTCGCCATCAGAAAGTTTACGCTGAGTCGCGCTGACGTCGAGGAATTTAATCAATTTCCGATATTTTATTGATTCGCGTTAAAAGTAAATTAAATTTTAAATTGTGCCCAGCAGTTTACCTCAAATCGCTCTAACCTTTCTCTATAATTCTCCTCTTTGCAGGTCGAAGTAAGTACAAAAAGGACGTCGAACAGGACTCAGTGAACTGGAAACTCGGGATCGATATAATGGTTCCATAGTTCGTCCAAATGGGTCAAGGTTTCATGATTGCAGCTGTGACTGAGCTGATAGCTAAGTTTATTGATATTATTACCAATTTAAGGGCTGGCCGACATTTGGAGCATATTAGTTTTCCCGAAAACAAAATTGGCCTTCCTTACAGGCTCAGAATGATATTATATTCATTAATTAATTATTAAGCTGACATATTTTAGCGGCATGTAGCGAAATAAGATAAGCTCTTAAAGCCCTTTTGCAACACCAAACTGCTCGCAAGATACAAATTCATTTGCAGTCACTCACAAACACCTTATGATAGATGGAGCTCCCAAATTACAAAATACTTGCCACATATTTGAGCTTCGTTTCGAACATCTTGTGGTCACTTGACTTGGCTCTTCTTCGACCAAAATATTCCCATTAGTGAAACCTCATAATTGCTTCATCTTTCGCTTTCCATTTGCACTTCGCTCACAGTTTTCCCAACTATTTCCGCAACGGGCCAAACTTTGAAACCCCCTTTCGAATGGCATTCTATTTGGCCATCTTCGGCCAACTTTTGGGCCAACCCACATCAAGTGTAGCAATTCTCCGCGCCTGTCCGCCCCGAATGCTGTTAATTAAATCGAAGACAACTCAAGTCGCTTCGTGGGGGTGTTTTTGGGGTGTTATCCTTCGGGAAAATTAGCCACAGTCAAAAGTCATTGCGTTGATTACTTTTTGAAAATGACGCGAGCGAATTTCCGGCCGACAACTTTAATTGTTTTAGCTGGTAAACTTTGAAAACTTGGGGGTTGGGGCCGTAGCACGTCTGGGCGCATTTAAATGTGAATTAATTGCCGGGCCGGACTGGATTGCATATGTATGTGGGGCGCAGGATTTATGTCCGCCCGATGAGTCGGCAGTCGGGCAGGTTGAGATCCTGGTCCAGTCATGTTGGTGCCATTAAGCGCTGCCTGGAATTTTTATGACCTCCGCACTCATCCCGCACCTCCTTTCATTGTGCTTGCAGGTCCACGAGCGCGAAAGCCCAAGAAGCCGGCGACGTCCAGTGCGGCGGCAGGTGGCGGGGGCGGGGGCGGCCTCGAGAAGGGGGAGGCCGCCGATGGGGGCGGCGTGCCGGAGGACAAGAGGCCGCGAACGGCCTTCAGCGGAACGCAGTTGGCCAGACTGAAGGTAAGTTTTCCCCCCAGTTTCACTTAAGTTTAGCAATGCACTTGAAGTATAATATTAAATCAGCAGCTAACAAGCTTGTAAGTGTTAGCTGTGCCTATTTTAATGCGCGGCAAATAAATAACTTTAAATAATTGATTTTAAATACCCTTTGTAATTCTAACGAGCTGCTCTTTTTTTAGTATTTGCTTTCGTAAATGCTTTGTATTATATATTGTTTATAGTTTGAGAGTATTTAAAGGGCATACAAATTATAGAAATATTGTAAGTCTTACGTATATAATTAAAAGGAATAGAAATATGGATACAAAATAGTTATTTTAATGCGTACTTACAGCTTTTAAGTGCTCTGCCTAAGTTTGGGATTGCTTTTTAGCAGCCCCATAAGTATTTTCTGTCTTAAGCAAGTATGACAATAAGTAAATTTTATATTAATTTTAATAAGTGAGCAAAAATTCAGTTCAATTCCTTTTCAAATTCACAAAAGCCTTTACACAACAACATCACCTTGCTTCCTAATTATACATCTTTCCAATACTCAGTATTTGAGTCCGACTAAGTCCACCCGTTCCCACTTCCTCGCCCACAGCACGAGTTCAACGAGAATCGCTATCTGACGGAGAAGCGGCGCCAGCAGCTGAGCGGGGAACTGGGCCTGAACGAGGCCCAGATCAAGATCTGGTTCCAGAACAAGCGGGCCAAGCTGAAAAAGTCCAGCGGCACCAAGAATCCGCTGGCGCTGCAGCTGATGGCCCAGGGATTGTACAACCACTCGACGATACCGCTGACCCGCGAGGAGGAGGAGCTGCAGGAGCTGCAGGAGGCGGCCAGTGCCGCCGCCGCCGCCGCTGCCGCCAAGGAGCCCTGCTAGAAGGGGGCGTGGTGCGCGGCAATATCTACGATCTAGTATTTAATGGAGTAGCGTGTAAGCTAGCTTAGAAATTCGTAGCGATTAAGTTGTACCATATTCTAGTCCGCCGCACACGCAGTCGAGCGCAGAATCTGCGGAAGAAATCTTCTGTGGAAGAAGGACCGCTGCGGCTAAGAAATCTTCTGGAGAAGATGGACCGCTGCGGCCAAGAAATCGCCCGAGGAAACGAGCTGAAGTTGCGTGTGCGTTTTGTATAATAGATGCATAAATTCACAACTAAATAATTTAATAAACATTTAAATTATACACGCCGTGTTGTTGCTGTCGTTATCAAGGAATTTTGCATAATTTTAATGTGATTGCCATATCTGTTTATGGGCCGCAGCCAATTGGCCAAGTGGGTGGTCCCCCCAACCCATAGCCACATACATATATAGATAGTCGATCGCATTTCCATTTTCCGTGGGCGTCGGCATTAATTACTCAATTAGCAATGCGGATCAAAAGATTGGGCAGCGGTCGCAGCAATTGCTGGAATTACATTCGAATTGAATTCATTATGCAAATTGAATTTAAAACTGCTATCTGCGAGCATAATCACGCCTAATAAACGGCGTCTCGTCGCGATGCCAAACTTTAGCCACATATATTATTAAATTCCCGCCCTTGCCGCTTTGTTTTGGCCCCTCTCGCTGGGCTCCTCGTCTAATTTAGCCATTAAATTTGCATACAGTCGTCAAATCCAGGTGTGTGCAGGTGTGTGCGAGTGTGTGCGCGTGTGTGCGAGTGTGTGAGTCTGCCAACGGCACAAATTGACACCTTGACGGCCAAAACGGCGCCCGCCGAGCTTTGCCTTTGCTTTTGCCGTGCTTTTGCTTTTGCTTTTGGCCAAACTGAAGTGCAGCGTCAACATCGCGTAGGTGTTAAATGTGTCTGTCATTGCAGGCGGCACGGGTTAAGGTGGCGGGGTGGGCGGGGCACGGCGGTACAGTGGATCGCAGACACGTAACACCTGCAGAAGTTCAAGGGGCCCAGCAAAGTGGACGACAACAATGAACAACTGAAGGTAATGTCTAAATACAGAAACAAATTTAACGAGAATGGCAATCAATTCGATTGTAAATCAATCTTTCGAAATAGCAATTAAATGGTTTCTTATGCCAAAGAACAATTAAAATTTTATTCTAATTTTAAATGATTTCAATTGTGTTTATTAAAGCGCTTTATTCCAGTCATTATTTTCAAGAGAAACAGTTGTTCCCTAAATGGAATTTAGCATTGATACAATGATACCAAAACATTTATTTGCTTTTCAAAGTTTTGGGCATATAATAAAGTTTTATTTCATATTTATTTACTATACATAACAACTTGGTCCTCAGTTTGCCGATGAGCAACTCAAGCCATTTGCAGTCCATAAACAGAATGTATAACAAGTATAGCGAAGTAGTATATTACCAGTATGGAATGTTTAATTTGTGCTTCGGTCTGCATTTTTGGATTTTTTATTCGACTGACTGGACAGGCAGTGCAACAACAAATTCGCGCGTGAAATAAAAAACGTCTTAATTCGCCGTGAATGATATACGGATCGGTTTTGGGTTTCACATCGCAGGCGACATTCGTTTGTGTATCATATAGTATCGCATCGTATCGTATCGTATCGGACAGGCGAACAAAGGCGAATGATACTGGTATGTACATTCGTTACTACGTTCGGCGCTTTATTCGCGAGGCTCCACTGTGCGTGGGAGTTTGGAGTTTTCCGCGCGGCCTAAGTGATTTTTTATGGCACGCGTCTGGCGGAGATATAACTTCATAAAAAGTCAATTTAAGTTTAGTAATATTTTGCTGAATTTATAGTTGCGAGTATTTTGTTTAAGCATAATTTTTTATTGCCTCCGGCAGAGGCTTCGCCAACTGGACTCGTATCGGCATGCAGTGGGGCTTTGAGCTTTTTGTTTTGGAGCAATCGCCATGAGTCATGGGAGCGGGTATATTACGTTATAAATTCAATAAATGTGACCATAAAAAGGCCCATTCAAATACCTTGTCCGCGTACATTAATCCCGCCGTCCTCCGCCCCAAAGCCCCCCTCGACCCCCCTAACCCTTTGCTGCCACACATTACAACGCCTCGAATGCTGCCGCAAACTGCTGGAACTGCTGGAACTGCTGGAACTGCTGCTCCGCTCCTAACCCCCTGCACCAAATGATTAATGTCTGGCAGCTCGCAGCCTTGGCGCGAGTTAAGGCCAGCGAACAGAGCCACAGCCACAGCCAGCATCCTGAATCCCGAATCCCGGGCCAGAGTCCGAGTGTTCCCGGAATGCCGGCTCCAGCGCAAGTAACCCGAAAAAAAAGACAATACGCATAAATCTATGGGGTTGACACTTAGTACCCAAAGACCACAGACTTCAAATGAATTTGTTTTGCAGATCCACGGCTGGCTCTAGAGGGGCGATAGGGTTCAAAGGGGCGGGGCGGGGGGCAGCTGAGTGGCGAGGCGTCATAAAATTGGCAACAAATTGTTTTCACGCCGTTTTAAATACACATTTTTTAGCCGATACTTGGAGACCGTTTAATGAGCGAAGCCAAAAGGAACCAACGCAAAGCGAACCGGGTGACCGGAACGAGAACGAGAACTGAGAGCTGCACTGCGAGAAATGCACACTATGATTTGCTCTTAGTGTTTGTTGTCACAAAAACATGTATTTGATAACACAACTTAAGAGCCATTGTAAAATAATGAGGAATAAAGAAATCTCCTTAAACTGTGCTTGTTTTTCTGGTTATCCGGTAGATTTTCACTATTTCCCCAGCACAACACACTGAGCAGAAGTTCTTATGCAAAATGCAATAAAATCGGGGTTTTGAAATACATTTGCTTGCATTTTCGCTGCCTGCACCTTGAACGACATTCTGCGAGTTGACGGACGCTCCACGTTGAGCGTCACTTGGCCGCTGGACTCGCCAATAAATTTGCGGCTAAGGAGATAAGCTTATAAATTTTAACTGTAATTATGCGACACAAGATTTATGAAGAGTCCGCCAGCCAACTTGCCGGCCATCTCAGCCCTTTCAGCTGGGGATTATTAATGAAACACCAGCTTACAGCGAAACGGGCTCACACTTTGTGGCCAACACTGGCGTGGTGATACCAACGTTCCTATGCCGGCCAAAACTAGCCAGAGATTTACGAGCATTTGGCCATTTGGCGGCGCTTCTAATTCCCCAACTTAATGAGTTTCTGGCTCGCTGCATGCAAATCCAGCTGCCCCACTGAGGGGCTGGCTTTTATCCACCCCTCCCCAGTTTTGGCCTTTATTGAACCACACACGTGTGTGCGTGTGCGTGTGTGTGTGTGGGTGTGGCTCGTCCCATGGGACAGATCAAAGGCAACAAATCGAGGGACCACCCACGTAGCGCCAATCGGAGGAAGAGATCTGCGTATTTGACATTGCTGCTCAGCGAGTGGAGTTGCCTCATTACGCCTGCGCGCAGACAATCGCCAAGATCAAGCGAGAAAGGTAAATAAATAAACGGGGGAGGGGGAGGGGGTGAAGGGGAGCCGCAATAAAAGTATCTTTCAGATACAGCGTGGGAGCCGCAAGCGAAGCATCCGCGATAATTTCAGCGCGCCTTTCGATTGAGCAAATGAGTTTCAACGCAGCCCGTTTATTGAGCTGTTTGCTCTTCAAAATGCAAAAATAATATAAAATTTGAATTGGTGTGAAACAGGAGACAGCGTTTTATGGCCATCATATTATGGTTAGTTTTAGTAAGGCAAGAGATCTTGGCATTATAGGTTATCGCAAACTTAATCTAAGTACCAGCGTACCAGCTACATAGATACGAAGGCAGTAAAAATTATTGGCCCATTAAATAAATATATAATAGCAGTCTAAAAATAAAGAAACACGTTATTAAGACTTTAATGTTAAGGAGTTAATTAACAATAAATGCTTTAAAGGTGAGTGAAAGGCTGGTCGTGAAAACCTTTCTCACTTTTTGGAAAAGAAGGGTAATTATATTACAAAACACTATTGCTGAGTAAGTAATACAAATGAAAAAAGGTCAACTTGAATTCCTTGGGCATAAGTTGCAAAACTTCCCAAGCAAAACTGGAGTTCTCCAACTCCAAACACTCTTTCCACCTGCCAAACAGGTAAGCACCGAAAACTGGGTGGGCTGGGTTAATTATGCAATGGAAATGCCTCATAGCCGCCTGCGACATATGAAAATGGGAAATTACGCTACGTTTTCATTCGTGCCGGCCGACAAACGGGAGCGTACTCGAAGTGCCATTCGAGCGGAAGTATCTTGTTAACATGCAAAACAAGCCATTCGGAAGGGGGACGGCTGTTTATGAACCCGCCGAAAGTGTGGAGCCGTGGATGTGTATGTGGATACGGATACTGACTCACCATAAGTTGGATGGTTAGTTGGATGGTCTGTCTTGCGATCCCACCTTCGCAATTCAATTAGGAAATACCGCGGGCAATCGGAACCGGCAAATGGGTGGGTAGTTGGGGTTGGGATGGACGGTCAAAGCCACATCGTAAAATCTAACGACGTGGGCCCACCCTGCGATCGCATTTTCATGGCACATTTGCGGCGCAATTTTAATTGCATCAATGGGCAGCCTGGCAACCCTTTTTCTGGCCTAAACGCGATTGGTCACGCATGTCCGTGCGCTTGAGAAAAAAGGGATTTTGGGACTGCGAGCGAGAGTCCCGGCAATAAACACGTAACCCGAGGCCTAAATAATATTTAAAGTGTTATAAAACTGTCACCAGGACAACCGGCAGATGTCACTCGAGTGCCTTTGATATTGGTTTTTCGATTAAACCTGCCCAACATCTGCGACCTGTGCCCACCAACCACCGCATCAATTAGACACACTTCAACTCCCCTGACAGCCGGATAGCTGTCAAAACAGAAATTGATCGCGTCTGGGATTGGGACCGCACAATAGTGGGTGTGCATCCGCACCTGAGGGGCACAAATCAAAACATTACTTGCATAAACTGATGGACCTTTGTCCGCTGGACAACCACAATTGGCAAGGACAAGCGGTGGCAAGGTCGCCCATTCCCAGAAAGCCCCTGATAGTACGGAAAGGGCACAATTACGGCTAGTACGGTGCTCCTCTAGGGAAAAGGGGTGATCCTAAACGCAGCAGGTGTGCGAAACATCGCTGTTGGTTGCAGGAACGCGAAGGCACCACAGTGAAAGTGGCATTCCCCAGCCCAAATGGAGACCCTAAACGCTAAA